CGCACGTCCTGCGTGCTACAGGCCCCCACGCAGACCGCACGTCCTGCGTGCTACAGGCCCCCACGCAGACCGCACATCCTGCGGTCCCAAGGGAAAGGGGAGGGCATCGAACACGAAAGGAATGCCTGCAAGACTGTTCCAGAAAGGACCAGGCCAGTTGTGCTAGAGGACATACTTGACGTCTGGCTCCAGCTGTCCTCCTGGGGGAGGGAGGACACCTCCAGGCCAGCCGCTGGCAACCCAAACTGCTGTTGGCTAGAGCCAACGCTCAAAACCATTTCAGGCTGGGCAATGTGGCTCAAGACCAGCCCGGGCAAAGAGAGTCAGCAGAGGTGGGAAGGTGGCTCAGTGGTAGAGTGCTTGCCTGGCACGCATGAGGCCCTGGGTTGGATTCCCCAGCACCACATAAGCAGAAAAAGCTAGAAGTGGAGCTGTGGCTCAAGTGGTAGAGCGCTGGCCTTGAGCTGAAGAGCTGAGGGACAGCGCCCAGGCCCAGAGCTCAGGCCAGAGTCCACAAGCTCTCATACCCGAGTCAGGCAGGCAGGTGTGGTGGCGCGCACGAGATCAGACCTTAAGAATAACTTAAACACAAAGCAGGGATTCACGCATCCCTCAAGAGACAGCGTCGGCCTAGCAAGCGTGGGGCCCTGAGTTCAAACTCCAGTAACCTTCCCACCCTCCTCAAACACCCACCCAAGTCTGGGGCGTGGTGAGGCGCGATGTGGTGTCCTACGCTTTGGGAGTTGCTGTCTGGTGGGCCGCCCGTGGGGAGAGCCCTCTTGAGCGGAGGGCTAGAGCATACCTTGGGGTTTCCTTTTCTTCCGCAAGCAGGAGGTGACGTAGCGCTCCAGCTCGCGCAGCGTGGAGGGCTTCAGGGTCTCGAAGTCGATCTCGATCTCGTCGGGGTTGGAGTTCTTGAGCGAGGGCTCCCGGGACTGGATGATGTGCACCACGCGGCCCAGCTTCTCCCCCGGGAGCTTGTTGATGTCCAGGCTCAGCTGGCGCTTCTCCTCGTAGGACATGGGCTTGCACTTGTCCTCCTCCTCCGACTCGTAGGCAGGTGGGGGCTTGCTCTTCAGGGGGGCCGGCTCCTTCTTGCTGCGAAGGGATGGGCGGTGCACACCATCAAAACCGGGCTCGCCCTCCACGCACGAAGGGGCCGCTCCCAAGTCCAATCGGGCCAGTCTTCACAGGCAACTGGACTCAAGGCCAGTCCTTCCCCGGGGAGCCCCGGAGAACGTGCCGGGGCCGGGGGAGCTGTGGCTGTGCTCAGGTGCGCCCTGCTGCAGGCCCACGCATGGCCCCAGCCCGTCCCACCATCCCCCCCAGCCCACAGGGGCTGCCGGTGAGCGGCCCTCAGCGCCCAGCCCGCCTCCCTGCCTCGGCCTGGGGTGGGTCCGGAAGCACAGACCTCACGCTGCTGTGGCTGCTGTTGGTCTTCTTTGTCTTCTTAGGAGGGAGCTCCTTGGCTTTGCTCTTCTTATTCTCCTCCACCTCCTCTTTCTTTTTGTGCTTCTCTTTCTTTTTCTCCTTCTTGTCCTTCTCCTTTTTCTTTGGTTTGCTCTGCTGGGGCTGCGAAAGGGCTGCAAGCTGTTCGTGCACGGCTTTGAGCTGTGGAGAGGAGGGGCCTGAGATCGGGCCGACAGCGCCATGCCACGCCGTGCCACACCACTCCACGCTGTGGCATGCCAGACAGTGTGGGACCCCATGGGGCAGGGCAGGGCAGGGCAGGGGCACGGAGCAGCCCTTGGCCAGTGGTCTGTCACATCCACCAGATCCCCAAGAAGCCCAAGGGACTGCCCCCCGCAATGCCAGGACGGCAGTGTCCTCTACCCCGTCAGCTGCCCGGCTGGCAGCCGCGATCCCCGGGCGGTTCCCCAGAGGCTGGGTGAAGAGCACAGATGCGCCGGGCTGGTGCGGCCCAGGCAGCAACGCGCACTTGCGGAGGGAAAGGCCAGGCAGGGCCCTGGGGCCACGCGTGCGGACCCACCTGCTCCTGGAGCTCGGCCAGCCGCTGGGCTCGCTCCTCCTCCGAGTCGTCAGTGGAACTGTCGCTGTCGGAGGAGCTGTCGCTGCTGCTGTCGCTGGAGGAGGGCGGGGCTGCCACCTTGGTGGGGGGCGGCACCGCGGGGGAGGACACGGCCACCACGGGCTCCTCCGGCTCGTCCGGCATCTTGGCAAAGCGCATTTCAAACACATCCTGGGGAGGGAAAGCCATGCCGTGAGCGACAGTATGGGAGGGCCGTGGAGCTGGGCCCTTTCTCCATGGACGGGGCCGCAGGGCCAAGGCCTTGGGACGGTCTTCTAACACGCCTTTCCTAGGTCTCTTTTGTTGTTGTTGGCTGTGAGGCTTGAACTCAGGGCCTGGACCTTTTTTGGTCAAGGCTAGCACTCTACTGTGTGAGCCACAGCTCTGCTTCCAGCCTATTAGTGGTTCATTGGAGTTAAAGAGTCTCCTGGACTTTCCTGCCTAGGCTGGCTTCGAACCACCATCTTCAGACCAGTAGTAGTTAGGAATACAGGAGTGAGCCACCAGCACCGACCAGAGCATTAACCCGAGGGCACCAGGGCAAGACCCCAGAAACACTGCTCAGGCCTGTGGCTGGCACAGCAGGAGGCTCTGTGGCCTTTCGTTTCCACTCGGGCAGAAAGCACGAGGACTAGTCTGAGCCGTCCCCGGAAGAGGAAGGAGAACGGGCAAAGGCTGGCCAGCGCGCCTGACAAAGCCCGCAGACCAGGAGCGCTGCAGCAGGAGCAGGGCGGGGCGGGCCC